TATTACAATTCAAGAAGAAAACATGATTGAATCGAATACGGAAAGGTCATGGGCACTCTACCACTTCTCTCTCCTATAGGGATCCTCCTGTATTCCAGACGGAAATGATGGGCCAATTGTTGATGCCATTAATGCCATATGATCTTCTATACATAATAGGTTTCTCAAGGCATGGTTAGTGCTGAATCGAAGTTATACATTTCATTCGCTACTACTTTGCATAATCCAAATAAAAGTCAATATTTCGCCGATAAAAATTATCAACATGGCTCCTCAAAAGGTAACTTACGATCGGAACAGAAGGTTGGATGGAATGAAAGGGACGATGCTATCTGCTGCCCACCCTTCCTCTTCTGCTTTGAGAACCGTGTAAACGAAGAGTGGGCCGAATCTCGCTTTAAGAGGAAACACTTACTTATTTACGGCTCTCCTACTTGAGTTATCTTAGCCCCATGCCCTGCTATTGAATAATATTGGGAAAATGGAAGCGTAAGGTAACATGATGTCCAAGAAAGATAAAACATTCTATTTGCGATCCCTTGAGCTTCTTTTAGAATTCAAGTGGTTGCTAGACGGCCAATAACTCTTCAAATGACTTTTTTCAATAATGATTTTTTTTTTTTTTTGGTGTCAAAAGTGGCCTTCTTGTAATGGTTTACAGTGTATTTAGGAATGTGAACATAATCGAGCCCAAGTTACCTTAAGGATGGCGAAATCTTCCTTCCTTGATCAATACTGAATGGTGAATGGGACAAAAATGAAATATGAACCTTGCACCAAGTACTTCGAAGTTTCGAACTTGCTCCAAATGTTTATATTTCATTTTATGTTTTCAATTTAAATAGTATGTAAAAGTTTTTTTAAAAGTGGGACGGTAAATGAAATTTTTTTAATCTCGCCATGCTCCCTTCCCACTCGTTGTCATCCTTACGTTGCCTCTTTCAGTATAGCTAATTGTTCCCTGATCGTTCTTTTTGAAAAGGTCCATCTTAAACAACTTATGTTGACTTAGTATAGGCACTTTTGTAATTATTTTATAAAAATAGATTAATATTATTTTTATTTAAAAATATATTATTTTAATTTTTTGCACTTATGTTAAAGCACGCTTCCCGATACATTAAGTGGGCTTCCTTCTTTTAGCGGACCAACCAACATAATTTAGGGGCAGCTTGGTTCTGTTACCATTCTTAGGCTTATTTCTTCATGTGATGGGTCGAACGGTCTTGGGTCGTTGTTCAAACTCTACTGAAAATAAAATTATTTTTCACTTTATTGTCAAAAAATTATTTTATGGGAAAATTTCATATCTAAGATATTAAGTATAACTCATTTCAAAACTAAGAAACAAAGTTTAAAATTTCAAAAATCGGATATTAATTAAATTTTATTTATAAAATAATTAATTAAATATATATTTTATTTATTAAATATATTAAGATCACAATTCTATGATATTTGGAGCCCGTTTGGTAGAGATTAAAATCAAATTAAAATTAAAAAATTAGTCGTTATTGTTGATTTTTATTAGACGAGTGGGGCCTAATAATGGCTATATTTTCAATTTTAATTGGATTTTAATCGGTACCAAACGAGCTCTTGGTCACAAATTATCGAATTAATTGATCACAAATTATTTGTAAAAGTCAAATAAAAAACTTTATAGATCGAAAACTATTTTTCACATTTCAAAAATCTTATAAGTCACAATCTATTCATTGCTCACAAATCAAGAAATTTATAAGTCAAAATTTAATTGTTGATCACAAATCTCAAATTTTTTAAGTCATAACTCAAATTTTTAGGCCACATATTATTTATGGGTTACAAATTATCGAATTACTTGATCACAACTTACCAAATTCGGAGTCACGATCCAAATTTAGTCACAATCACAAGTTCTTTCAGGCCACAAATTATTTATTGATCATAACTAACCAATTTATTGGTCAAAACACCTAAAGAATTTATTACAAATACTCTTCGTTCCAACCAACCATTGCCCCCACCATCGCACCACCACGCCACAACCATTGTCACAACAACCACCACCACAACATACCAACTACATCAACACCACCCGCACCAGTGACATGCCACCACCACAATACCAACAACACAAACACCATCGCGGCACCACCATCACCAGTACCACCACAAATCTCAATCATCATCACCGTAAGCACAATCACCATCATTCAAAATCCACCACCAACCAACACTCATAAAAATCACCTTAGAACCATTGCCACAACAGCGGAGCAATCGCCGGAAACCATAAAAAATCTGACCATGTCAAAAGAACCCACCTTCTTGCCATGTAATGTTGAAATCGCTACCTACCTTCTTGCAAGCGACGATGCCAGATAGCCATCCACCCTCCTAGTAAGAGGTCGCGGCGACACTCCTCTTTTGACAAAGCCAGTCTTTTTCAGCGGTACGATAGGGCTCGTAGTCGGCGCGGCACCGATCCTCACCCTATTGCATCAACGTTGGTCTTTTGTAGCTACACTGATCTCGCAATCGGTGCATCTCTCTTGCAACAACATCGGTCATCTCCCCACAGCATCCAACATCACCGATGGAGGGATAGAGAGAAGATGGAATAGGTGGAGAGAGGATGCCGACTACTATGCAAGAGAAAAAGAGATGGGTATTGAGAGATGTAGAAAGAGAAATGGGAGGGGAGGGGAGGGGAGGGGAGGGTTTGTGGTGAATTTTGGTTATATTAATAATATTAAATATTTGCATTAAAATCTGATGTTTGTATCTGATTTTTGAAATTGGATTTTAAAATTTTTGGTTCGATGTAATTACCACTTATTTTATTTCCCAAAATATTGTTTACTCATTTTGTAATAATTGTTGTTATTCTTATTGGAACAATTTAACAATTGTTAACACTTTCTATTACAATTGTTAAATTATTATACAAAGTATAACAATTGAAACAAGTTGTGTAACACATTCATCATCGTCATCATAACTATCAGTACAACGATCACCTTTTCGAACCACCAATCCTACCACCACATTTCACCACTATCATTGCCGCCATCAACAACCAGTCCCATCTACACCGATCTGCAATCACCATCATATTTGCACCACTATGATCCCCACGACAAAAATCATCGCCACGAGCAACCACTTCCCCAACTGAATACACCACCACAACCAATCAAAAATATGATGAGCCACCACCCCTATGTGGATCAGAGAGATAACTTGTATCATACTAAAATAGATCTCGACTTTTGAGAATAAAATAATCTCAAATCAATAGTACCTTTCAGATAACGGAAAATGTGTTTAATACCATTTCAATATTTTTGAGTTGGTACAGAGCTATATCATTACAATTATTAAGTCGGCCGATCTGCTTCGCCATTACAACTACAACCAGGGATGGAGGGAAAGTTTTTTATGAAAATCATTTTTTCTTAGCGATTTTTTTCTCAATATATTAGCTCAGTATAAAAATTTTTTTGGTCCCCTTGCTCCATTCCTGACTATTAACTACTTTTCCCATTTCACCACCAACACCACAAAAATCAGATCTTAAGGTGAGACTATAATTTCAAAAAAAGAATGCAAAAGAAAATGTTTTTTTTTTAAGAAACTAAGTGGGCAAATAGTCAGATTTGTGGTCCGTCAATGTTTGTTAGGATTTGGTGTAGAATGGGTATTTGGGCTGTGGATATCATTAATTTTATCAACTTTTTAATCATATATTTCATCAATTTTTAATCATATAATTTATCAACTTTTTAATCATATATTTCATCAACTTTTACTGAAAGTCTAATTTTTTTTTTTTTTTTTTCAAAACTAAATAGGGACTAAGAATATTTTAACAAAAAGGGCATGGGGTCAAATTTCCACTAATAAATTTTAAATGTTATCTAAGTATAGGCCGACTTAATAATTGTAATGTATCTATTTTTCTAAGGTTTTGCTTTCGCATATATTGGAGTTGGCACTCAAATGCACAGAATCCCTCACAAGATGGGGCGCACAATTTTTTTTATTGGTCGTGAGCCCCCTCTTGTGAGAGGTCTGTAAATCCCGATGTACAAATAAAAAAAAATTATTTATTTATTTATTTTATCTTATATTTTTATTTTTTGTCCAGCACAAGAATCCTAATGCCCTCTCTTGTCTGTGAATCCCGATGTACAAATAGAAATTTTTTATTAATTTTTTTGTCCAGCACAAGAACCCTAATGTTGACAGAAGCTTTTTTTATCCTCTTTCGAGGTGACTTGTTTGACATCGAAACATGATGCCCATATGGGCCCGACCTCTGATCGTCCAATACATTGCATTTTCAACAGTCCTATTAGTCCTAAAAATCACTTTGATTGGCTAGGCTTACACAATTTTCATATACAGTGATGTAGTTTATAATTGTTTAAGCATCTTCACCTAGGCATATACATTTTTCTCTGTATTTTTCTTCACCATCTGAAAGCTGGCATACCTGCCGAGAGTTTTTGAAACGTGCGATTTTTCGTTCTTGGAGCCGAGATTTCTGGTCCAATATCAGCACCAGACAAAGTCTTAATAGTTTCAAGTTCTGGTTTTGCTTTCTGCCTTCGGTTAAATGTAAGTTCTTGACGTCAGAGTAATGCTTTTGTTCATTTTTTGTGCTTTTTTCCTGGGTTTCTTTTAAAGGTTGAATGTGTTAGTACTGGTAAAAACCAAGATGGCATAAAATAGCTGTAGATCTTTTCTGGATAATTTCTTAAAGTGATGATTTTAGAATTTTATAATCGCTTTAGAAGGATTTGGATTTGCTTTTTGGAAGGATAGAGGTTGTTCTTGACCTGTAGAGACTTATAGCTGGTGGTTTTGTGGGTGCAAAGACTAAGAACACATAAAGGGTTTTCAGGATTTTATAATCTTGCTCAACGAGTTTTCTACCGACTGAAAGCTGAGGGTTTTTCTACTTGTATTTGATTTATGAGGTGAATGGATTTGTGATTTTTTAGCTAATGATGGATGGGAATTCACGATCAGGAAATATGATGCAACAGAATGGTTCTTATGGAGGTTTTGATTTGCAAGGGCCGACAAGAGTCCATCATCACCAACAAAATCCGCTGGCACCCCACCAACATCACTCTCATCCTAGACAAGGTTCATCAATTGTTCATCCTACAATTCATGAAAACTTTCCCCTTACAATAGGAAGCATGCAAGAAAACGACCAGACCTTTTCCATGGCAGACTATGACAGAAGAGAAAGGAGAAAATCTACAAGTGATGAGGATGAGCCAAGTTTTACGGAAGAAAATGCAGATGGCAGCAGTGATCCAAGCCGAGGAAAGAAGGCATCCCCATGGCACCGGGTGAAATGGACTGATGCTATGGTAAGGCTGTTGATTACGGCTGTTTCTTACATTAGTGAGGAGGCAGCTGCAGAATATGGTGGTGTTGGGAGGAGAAAATATTCAAGTTTACAGAAAAAAGGCAAGTGGAAATCAGTCTCGAAAGCTATGGCTGAAAGGGGACATTTTGTTTCACCTCAACAATGTGAAGATAAATTCAATGACCTCAACAAAAGGTACAAGAGACTCAATGAGATCCTTGGGAGAGGAACTTCATGTGAAGTTGTTGAGAATCCATCGCTTTTAGATGGGATGGATCACATCTCCGAGAAAGCAAAGGAGGAAGTTCGGAAAATTCTAAGCTCAAAGCATTTGCACTACGAAGAGATGTGTTCTTACCACAATGGGAACCGGCTGCATCTGCCCCCTGATCCTGAATTGCAGCGTTCTTTGCACTTAGCCCTTGGAAGTAGAGATGATCATGATGACAGTGATGTGAAAAGGCATTCAAAAGATTATAATGAAGAGGTTGATCAAGAAGCTGAATTGGATGATTGTTATGAAAGCGAGGATAATCATGTTTTATCTGGGCATCACATGGCTTATGGGATGCCAGGCAGCTCGACAAAGAGGATGAAACAATATCAGAATCATGAGGATTTTAGTTTTGGAAGTTCTTTGAATTTTCTAGATTGCAACAGGACTTCTAATTTCCAGCCAGTAAATGCTGATGCTGATGCGAAGCAGGGGTCACCTGAAGGCATGAAAACAAACAGGTTACAAAAGCCGGGGATTAATCACCGTGCTCTTCAATTAGAAGAACAGAGGCTACATCTTCAAGAACAAATGTTGGAACTGGAGAAAGACCGGTTCAAATGGCAGATATTTTGTCAAAAAAAGGACAGAGAAATGGAGATTTCAAGGATGGACATTGAGCAGATGAAACTCGAGAATGAACGTATGGCTTTGGAGTTGAGGCGAAAGGAAATGGGTATTGACAATAGCTAATCTGCTTGTATTTTCAAACTTCTTTTGATCATTGGCGTGCATGCAACAAAATTTCTCGTCTAATGAGTGATGATCGAGCTTATTTCTGTGTTTTTCTGTTTGGAAAATCACTTTTTATTTTTTGGAAGTCTGTTCCTGCTTATTTTGTAACAATGCAACAGTTAAGTTTCAATGCTTTGCCTTAAATGTTATTGGGCCATAGGCTATAGATTTAGAATATATGGAAGGCAATTTAATGCTCTCTTTTGTATCACCCTTGTTATTAAAATTTGTGAATTTTGTGCTTTGCTGAGTGTGACTTCTTACAATTATCTTCAAAATGTTTTTTAATCCTTTTACACTTTTGATAAAAGAATCTCCGTACTCGTATGTTGTCAGTATAGAACCAGTCAGAGTAGATTTAAAGAGATCTATCCCGTTCATTCATGAGCTATGCATGAAGGGAACAAACGAACTTCCTATAATACCTTTTCTTCACACTTTATATAAGTGTAGACTTTATACCTCCGTATGTCTGTGCATATTTATGAATATGTGTATTTGCAAGTATGCATTTATATGCCTGAGTGCACCATCCTTTTGGATTGTGGTGTATTACTTCTGAATGAAAAGTATTTCCAGCATTTGACAAGACTGCAGTGTTCCAAAGCTCAGTCACGAGTTCATCTGTACAAAATTTGCTCTTTTTCCACATACCTGTTTTCTATTACCATGGACATATACTCTTTTCTTATTCTTGTTATTTATTTTCATGCTTCATGTGCTAATAGAGTTTTAGTGGCATTACAAGGAATTATGTGACTTATTCTGGTAACAGACCTTTATTCTTCATTTTATAGATGATACTAGTATGAGCTTCTATCCACTTCAAATCGTCAAATCTAAATATGTATTTGATTTGAGAAATCCGGCATCAACTTCTGAGCTATGCATTTGTGTGTCGTGCTGGCTTCAGTATGTAAATCTCAGGTGCCTCATTTCACTGCTTGGTTTGAGCTTTGGCATTTGTAGAGCGACCTTTATGTGGCTCAAACGGAAAGCCTTCTAATTTAGCAACACCTACTTGTTGATCTCGTGAGGACACAAGCTCAATAGTTCCTGGTCATTCTCGCTTTTCCATACTACTGGTTGTCAAGTAGACTTGATCGTGGTTAATTATTTGGTCTTTAGTGTTGACTTGACATGTCAGGTCAGGTAAATGGTCTGGTACGCCATGCTCAATGTCTTCTAGGCATAAGGGCAACAATATAATTGGTTTGAGTTGCTATGATATCATGGTAGAATGGTGTTTGTACCTGTCCAAACAATGACCTGGCACAATTTTCTGTGTCTTAAATAGATGCCATAAGGGCAACAGTATGGTTGGTTTGAGTTGCTATGATATCATGGTAGATTGGTGTTTGTACCTTGTCCAAACAATTGCCGGGCATAATTTTCAGTGTCTTAAATGGATGAAAATGGTAAGAAGATAAAAGATAAAATACATCATCAATTGGTCAGTTTTCGTAAGATACAAGGCTGTAAATTGTCATTGACGTATATTTGTATTCTAGTAATTGTTAGCTTAAATCAATTGAACAGATTAGTTACTGAATTGCTATTCAGGAGAATACATGCATGCACATGTATAATTAGAAAGTACACAATCTATCATCCATTCGATAGACACTCTTCTTTCTTAGGTTGACCCTGCATCACGGCCTTTAGAGTCGTCTGGCTGCATGGCTGGTTTGTGGAACTATGTTTGGTGAATCTTTCATGAGGCATTACCTACTTTCTCAAATTTAGGCTGAAAAAAATGGGTGCGAGGTTGGGGGCGGTTTTAGATGTGAAGTGAAAACTAGTATAAATGCTCTTTTCACCAGTGGCGCTTCAAATAAAAGTTTGTAAAGTGTTGGTTTGTTGGAACTGGGCTAAAATATTCGCGAACTACGGATAAAAGGGAGGTTTTGGTGATTTTAGCTAAGCATTTCATGGGCACTGATCTCGGGCAGCTGGGATGTGTTATATGGGTGCTTTGGGAAGAGAGACGAGGTTTCGTATTGAGGGCAAGAGATGCAAGCGGATGTGATTGAGGAAGTGGCAGCAGGTCTTTATAATAGGTGGCAATGGGTGGTGAAGGGGCAGCAGAGGCTGTTGGTAAAGGATTGCAGGAAGGGGCGGAGCCCACTATGGCCCAGTGACGGCACATGCTCTCACTGGACTCGTAAGAAGAGGAAGATGTCAACAGTTGGTGGGTAGCATTCGTTCTCACTTCTCATTTGCCCCCATGCTAGATCTTTTGTTGCTGATTGAATTGCATTCTCTCACTTCAAACCTTTTAAAGCCATCCACACAAGCTATCATCTTCTTTTCCTTTCGGGATGGATGAAGAGCATTTCTATAACCAGTTACCTCTATAAAATATCTCCTAGAGTGCTAGAAAATACAACGAAAACTATGATGATGACAGTTAAAAGGAGGAATGGGGCAGATTGTTTAACATGTTGGTTCAGTCCTGTAAATTAGTTATACAGTAGATTATGAAGGTAATGCTGTGCTACAATTACTTCACTATTGTTGGAAATTTTTTCAAATAATGTGGTTTTTTACAACAAAACATTAAAGGGACGGATCGTAGGAGCAGAGGTCGGAAGTGCTGGCCAGCCAAGGCCATAAGATGCAGCATGCTTAGCTGCCGCAGTCTGCTTATTCCTCAACATGTGTCTTTGCACCTGTTCAGGATTTTAACCATTTTTTGTCCCTTTTCGACCAGAATTCAGTTATTTAATTAAAATTGAATGGTTAATCAGACGATGAAAAGTGTTGTAATAACAATCTATATATAGATTAGGATTCATTTGGCAAATCTTATTTTCATTACTAAATTACTTTGTATCTGGAATACCGCAGAACCGGATTGCATAGGCGCTCATATAATTTCATATATATATCCTTGGTGTTAGGTTTATGAATGATGCTTGAAGTATTGGGAAAAATTTCAGAGGGCACTTACAGGCAAGACACAGGTAGTGCCTGCATGATTTTTTTTCTTTTTTTTAAACATAGGTGGGGCCCACGCTACAGTGAGGACCAGGTAAAATACCTGTGAAATATAGCCTGTACTTGGAGCAAAATTCTAGGTTTATGGTCGTTAAGTGCATAAATGCCAATAAATATATTTTATTATTTCATTTTATCCTGGAGGCAAGTTTGGTTTAGTAGGAGTTATTGCAAGGCATTCCCCAACAAAATTTTAAAGAAAACATACGACGTAAGTTGCAATGGCTCCACCTACGTCGTGATTACGGGATTTCACAATTGATTTCGTGAAGTTGAAGAGATTCAAAGGGGCTAATTTTCAGCGTTGGCAAAATAAGCTTCATTTCCTTCTCAGTCTCACCACACTTAATGTGGTATGTGTCACTACGCTGAGACCGGAAGAGACGGAGGACATCTTTGGCTAACACAAGGGCTATGCAAAAATGGGATCAAGATGACTACATATGCAATGCGAAGTCTGATGCAATCTTTGATCGATACCATGGCAAGAAGACTGCAAAGGAGATACGGGATTCATTGAAGGCTAAATACATGTGAGAAGATGTCAAGTAAGAAGTTTCATGACCCTAAGGTAATCAAGCAATTTCTTGAAATAGTTCACATTTATAATCAATTTCAACAGCATAATATGAATAAGAATAGTCATTAATTTGTAGTCTCATTTATTGAAGAGGAATTCAGATCGAACAATTAAGAGGAAACACGGCCAATCATCTGGGTTCCGTGTGGTGGAGGAAGGGAAAGAAACCAAAAAGAGGATACACTATTCTTCAAAGAACAAGAAGCAGAGAAAACATGACTCCAAAGACAAGGACTCAAAGAAGAAGGATTGTGCTTCGATTGTGGTAAACCAGGGCACGCTGAAAGGGAAACAAAAACATGAAGGTAACCTTAATTTTGTAGCAATGATCAGTGAGGCCTTTGTTATAGAAGATGAAAATTTTTCCACAACATCCATTCGAGACAAAGGAGATATCAAGTTGGAGTTCACTTTCAAGAAAATGCTCACCATCACCGATGTGTACCGTGTAAGTAAAGTTAAGAAAAACTCGTATTCGGGAATCTTCTTAACCAGATTGATTTTAAACTTGTATTTTTGAGTCTAAAAAGTTTGTATGTCCAAGGGAGGTTTGTTTGTTAGAAAGGAACTTCCGAGTTTCGTATGAGGATCCACTTTCTGAAATTTTGTGAAAACATAGGTATTATACATGAATATTCTATTGCTAATACTCCTCAACAAGACGTTAAGAAAAATTTGGACTTTGAAACGAAGTTACTCTCTTAAATTATGTTAAAAGAGAAACCACGTTTTTAGGGTTGTATTGTTCTTAAATTTCCCGATCCTAAGATAAAGAAGTTAAGAGAAAATGGTATAGATAGAATGCATCTTCTCAAGTTATGTCGAACATAGTAAAGGGTATATGTTTCTTGTTATTTCACCTGCTAGTTAACACCATTACAGAGTCTAGAAATACAATATTTTATGCGAATATATTTTCAAGTAAGGTTGGATACACCTCAACCTAATGCATCAGAAACTAACAAAAGAAAAGCGATGATTCTCTGGAGTTAAGATAGAAGTAAAAGGGTTAAAATGAGAAATCCTTTGGACCAGAATTCATCATGCATCTAGTCAAAGGGACAAGGGACTCACATGTTAAGGAAAAAAACGATTTTGCTTTCATCTAAATCACATCATATTACATTTAAAGAGACTATGAAGTCCGTCAGAAGATGCATCTTGATGAAAAGAAGCTATAGATGATGAAATGCAATTAATTTATGATTAACAAAACATGGAAATTGGTTGATCTTCCAACAGGTTCCAAACTCATTGGGTCTAACTGGATCTTCAACAAAATGATAAAAGTAGGTGGAACAGTAGATAAAATCAAAGTAAGGAAGGACTCAGAAGGCTTTACTCAAAAGGAAGGACTAGGCCTTTTCGATACCTATGA